TAATTTTTCTTTTTGTATATATTTTTTAATAATTTAATTTATTTTTATTTATTTCTTCTTTTTTGTATTATTTTTAATTTTTATTTATTTTTTTTATTGGTGTCTGGCTTTAACATCTAAGGCCATTTTCGTGTTCTATGTAGGTTATGGATTGTACTAGTAGTATAATACTCCATAGTACAGAAGTATTAGTACTCTAATACTCCTACACTCTTGTCTAGTTCCTTGCGCCACTTTAGGAACAGCACTGTTAATTAGAACCCAACAGTGAATAGTCGAGTGGGGAATCCTACCAAGGCGCCAGAATTAATTTTAAATAAATATATTAAATAAAAAAAACCCGGCAAACGGTGGGATTCTAACCTGGGATCCTTAATTTTTATTTATTTTTATTCATTCTTAATTAATCTTATTTATTTACTTATTATATATTTATTTTTTTTGTATATTTTTTATAATTTTATTTTTTTTTATTTATTTTTTTGAATTATTTTTATTTTAATTTTTTTATTGATTTTAATTTCTGTAATTATTTTTATTTATTTAATAGAACTTGAAATAGGGACTAAACTGTCGCGATTTTTCATGTCAAGCAAACCACAATAAGTTCACTTCAAAATTTATTTCACCATATAAAGTTGTATAATATATTGAATATTTATAAATTAAATTTAAAGAAAAAAATTAAATGTTAAACATAAATTTTTTGTAAAACTTTATGCTTTATAATTTTTATTAGGAACTTTTTTATAGCACCTACCGTTTTTAAATAACCTCAAAAAACACTTTATTTTCCTTGTTTTCGCTATTTGCCGGGACCTGAAAAACAAAATTTTTTCACATATCGTTTTCAAATACTCGAAAGTGACTTACATCAAAAATTCCTGTATTTCCTCCAAAATTTTGATATAAAGGTCTATTTGATTGGACTATCAGTGTAAATGTTGCATAACATTTTTGCTGGATTGCGAAGAAGAGTTGGTTTATGTTTATACATAAATGAACAACAATTTCTGTAATTGTATGTAAATTTTGATTATGATTTCGGTATTAAATGAATTATTTATTACTTTTTTGTTGCAATATGATTTAGAGGTAATAAACTTTGTGAAAATATCAAGTAGTAAATGTCATTCTGTTAAAAGTAGCTAAAGTTACCGACCGAAAAGACTTAAATTTCACAGCCAACTCTAATTATGATTTTTCTGAATGGATCACTACAAAAGTGTCATACTTAATAATAATATTTATATATTCGTATTAAAATTTAAGGATTACACAATACCATGAGAATGACACACCTTTCCAAATTGTTTATAATTAGTCACTTTTCCGCAATGTATAAATATTTAATTATTATTTTTTATAGTCATTAAAAATATTTAGTACACCACATTATATTCTTTAAATATTTTTTTGTTGAATACAACGGTCACAAAAATAAGCGAGTCTTGTCACCTAATATTTATTTATATATAATATATCATAATAAACTTATGAATAATAATTAGATTACATATTAATTTATTAAATAACATTTTTGCTTAATTGATTCATGTAATGGTACAGTTTTAAAAAAACGTTTCTACTTCTATTTCATAATTTCTTTTCCCTAAAATTTTGACATTTTTTGACTCAGTGACAAAGATTTAATTTCTGATTTTAATGAATTCCATAAAATATCTCACAGCGATATTGAACATTAATGTTTTGTAACACTACCTAAAATCTTAGAAAAAAAAAAGCAAAAAATATGTATGAAGCTCTAGTGCTCCAGAAATCCAGAAAACTCTTTACGAAACATTATATGAGCAGTTCACGGATTTGAGAATTACTAATTTTGAGTTGTTAAATTTATTTAATAAATGGTCGTAGAAAAAATTGTGTATGTAACTCTATGTAATTAATCTATAGGGAACAAGCAATACTGTATATAACTTCTATTTAGGCGTTTGCAAGAGTAAGAGGAGATCAATAACAATTTCTTACTATAGTCTATTTTTATGTATGAGAGAGTATTAAAATAATAAAGCGTTCGTAATCCATAGGCGTAGCACTTCTTTTTAGTAGACAGTTAAAATATTTTTTGAAGTTATTCCTCTAGTATACACTTATATTTTCACCTAATTAACCTGCTTATAACTTCTAAACAGCTGAAGGTAAAAAAGTGCAATTTTTTCTTAAATGTTTTATTTTTCCACAAGGTATGTTAAGAACATTGTGTCAAACGGGTTATGTAGGTATAAGGGTTTAAACTTTGACTTTTAAACAACGTTACGTTCATAAATAATAATTTTAATATAAAAACTACTTCTTAACTACAAATCCAAATCAGAATCGAAATCAGAAGATGAACTGTCGCAACCAATATTTACAATGAGTGGCTCGATCATTTCATCAGTAATATTGTCCAACTTCCACATTTTCTCTTCTTCTTTAATCGTATGATTTACTGCCTTTTCCCAGTTTTCAGGCTTCACATTATTTACAGCCTCCAAAAACAACTGTTTAACATCACTCATTTTAAAAGAATTATTTTTTCTTGAAACTTCTCCCTTTATCTGTGCCCATATCAGTTCAATCGGGTTTACTTCGCAATGATATGGTGGTGATCTAACCACCGTCATCCCACGATTTTTTGCAATTTCATCAATTTCATATTTTTTGAATTTCTCTATATGAAGGGAACACACATAATACAGTTCTTTTCTCACAGAACCGGGATGGAACTTAATATTCTTTGAATTTAGCCAATTCTGTAAATCTTTTTTTAACCACTTGGTTGTGGGCATTTTTTCTATAAGTTTCGAGTGATAACTTGCATTATCCATTACTATTATACAGTTCTGAGGAAGAAGATCTATAATTTGTTCGAACCACTCTTTAAAGACATCAGCATTCATGTCCTCATGGTAGTCACCGGTACGAGTAGATTCAAAAGTCAATAAACCATCTTTAACAAAACCGTTTGAACTACCGATGTGTACTATTATTAGTCCGCGGCCCTTTCCTGATGGTGGATTTAAACCAGTAGATAAATTATTTAAAAAAGCCTGTCTTCGACTTGTAACAGTTTCATCTTGACAAAATTTATTTGGTTTATGTTCCTCGTTGATCCATGTTTCATCTAAATAAAATATATTTCTTCTTTGGTTTCTCATTTCTTTTATAGTCCTTAGGTAATTTCTTCTCCATACTACAATATCGCTTCTTTCTATTAAAATAGACTTTCTGGAATGCTTTTTCCATAGAAAACCTATTTCTTTTAAAAGTTTCCATAGTGTGCTTCGACTCATTTCAGGGTAATCCTTATCATCTCGAACCATGGCAAGAACTTTGTCTACTGTCGGAAATTCTTTTCTAAAGAAGAACGCATGCACTTTCCTTCGAAGTTTTTCTTTCAAAAGATTTTCTAATTGAAATTTTGGTTTTCCTGGAGCTTTACGTGCTGTTTGAAACTCGCCACATTTCTCTTCTTTAACAACTCTGTAAATCGTAGATTTCCCAACACCAAGCGTACTACTAACTAATTCCACTGTGTCATCAACACTTTTACATAAATGTTTGTCTGTAAATTTTTAAAAACAATTAAATATTAATGTTTTTTCATTAACTGTTAAAGGACCGATTTTTTGTCGTTTACGCGGCCCTTCCAAATTTTCCATGATCACACTAGAATTCACACTGCACCTTGCAAGTTGCAACTAAACGACATTTAGTAAACTGTCAAGAATACACAACTTGGACCTCCTTACTAAATGGAAAACCTATAATCGCATTTTCGGTGAAATTTGTTGGGAAGGTATTTATCTACTTATAATTCGATTACTGTAAGAAATTCTTGGAATTAAAATAAAACAAAATTGGAAATAGGTACTTATTGAAAATAATCTTAAGATACGGCTATGTAATCTTTAATACACAGGGCTTTTGACCTGTCCAAACCTTTTTCTATTGTTCTGTACAGCTTATGTTTATAAAGGATCAATAAAAGACCCAAAACTTGTAATAGCTCAGGTACATTTATTACAATTTTAAGAAATATTTAGAATATTCTGTAAAAATATTTAAAATGACCGTACTAAGTTTTGCATTAGAAATGCTGTTTTATTACTCTCTCATACATAAAAATAGACTATACAGGGTGTTTCCGAACTTGGCGTCCAAATTTGTAGGGGTGGTAGTTCACATAATTTGAGACCGATTTGCAGATTTAATTTTTCCAAATTATTTAAAATAAAAATAATTAAAAATTATAAACACGTACGGCCCTGCACAGCGATGGGATCGCATTGACTCGCGCGCGCTACGCTTAGAATGTTTTTGAGGACTATTGCGCTACGCGCTCAGGATAGGACCTGCTCTTTGATTTTTATTATAATGGCTCTATTTTGATTATTATAATTTTTTTAGAAAAATGAAATCTGCCAATCGCTTTCAAATTATGCGAACTACCACCCCTACAAATTCGGAAACATCCTGTATATACATCTAACCGTTGTGTTGGTTTATTGTCAAAAATAAAAATAATCAAAAATAAAACATCTAAAGGCGCATACACACCTGAGCATTCGGGTAGTATAAGCATTCGGGCTGAATGAGCATTCAGATAAAGCATCGCGTACCCAACTGAATTGGACGAATGAACAGTAATAGCAAGCCACATGAGCTTCTATCTTCTATGAATAGTTTGATTAGTGCACGTTTTCAACGGATGTTTTGCTAACCGTCCTCTTCCGCTAGTGTCGCCATCTACATTGAGCAGATTTGAACGCGTTCGCCGACAAAATTTGGATCGGGCGGAGCCTGTTTGGAACACGTTGCTCAGTCGCCAACATATGAATACTCATTCGTGCTCGCCTTGCTCATTTGGCCCGAATGCTTAGGTGTGTACGCGCCTTTAGATGAATAATCTTCTTCATTGTTAGTCAATAACTTGATGTTTTACATAAAACGATGCATAACTATTATTTGAATACAAAAATAATTGATCAACTTACGTTTCTTGCGTCGTGCAGACATTTGGTCCTTCCAGTACCCCTAAACTAGTAGCTAATAAAGTTAATAAAATAATAGCAGAATATATCAACATCTTGACAGATTCATGAAGTCTTGTTATCGTGTTCTCCTATTTTCGATGTTGATGTATAAAATTGATGTTCTCCCATTGGGTCACTACGGGATATCTGAAACAAAAAAAAATGATTAAAATAATGATTTCAAATTATTTGCGGTTGGTAATTATTATATTGAGGTATGATTCTATATAAATTAAATATGATTTATTTTCAGAAAACAAATCCAGTCTTATGGATCGGACAAATCTTGACTTCTTTCCGCACTGAAGAAAATTTGAAGGTTTTTAATACAAAACTGCACGGAAAAAAAATTGTAGAACAAATTTCTACAATTATAGATTTTTTCTCTACAATAAATAGTACATATAGGGACAGGGACAATTTGTAGTAAAAATTTCCAAATATTTGTGGAGAATGTATTGTAGAGTTATTATCACTAGTAATACCACTAGAGGTCAAATTATTTCCGGAAATTTTTTCGAGCTCATGAATATTTTTAGAAAATTTCCCTCGTCTGCGACTCGGGAAATTTTCAAAATATTCATGAGCGAGAAAAAATTTCCTGATATTAATTTGACCTCGCGTGGTATTCGGTAAGAAAATTCCACGCCGAATTATGGTTGAAAATTAAATATTTTTAAAATTTATTTTTCGTTTCTCAACAATGCAAATTATTTTCTCCAAGTCACCAGTGAAACATAAAAGGTGTTGTCGCCTTGATTGTTGAGTTGTCATGGTAACTAAGTGAGACCCTAACCTCGAATATAATTTCAGTTTTGAAGTTGTCAAGCGGCCCGACGTAAAAAAATGTTTCGCTGCAATTATTTAGGCCTTCAAATTGCTTATTTCTACTCATTGTAGTTGCATGGGAATACCATTTGAAAATAGAAAATAGTATATTCTTTAATTTTACGTAAGTTTTGAATAACTACAAGTGGTAGAAAATTGTTTTTCTGCGTTTTTATTAACATGCGTTATGAGCGCTTTAAAATGGTATGAAATTCATAACCAGCGTCAGCAAGCATCAATCGTAGGAGGCTGTGATCATTGTATTTTGACAGTTCAAAACATTAAATAACTCGCGTTTTGTTGCGATAAAGAATATTGAACAGCAAGTAAAACCAACAAAATTACCTATTTGTTTAAAAATGAATCGATTTGAAAATCATACGCTATGCAAAATATGCGTGAAATTGTCTGATGTAATGATCAATCATTGCACCATGACTTACTTACTCGGATTAATAGAGGATTGTGGCTCCAACTTGAAAAACGAAAATTTGTTCCGAATTGTCCGCGAATATTTGCACCTAAACTACGCAAAATTCAAAGTGCTGAATGGGAAAAAGGTGAATAAATTAGTGTCTAAATATTATATATATTTTATTAGACATAGACACATAATTCAAAGCATCCAAAGTCCTGCATTTTCGCCATTAAGAAGAAAAGAAGTGGCCAAAGAATATAGAAAACACCTTAGCATTGTAACTAAAATGTATCAAAACTAAACCTATTATGTGAACAAATAAAAACCAGTCTGTCAAAAATGGTCTGTTATTGTAAACGTCAAAAAATTCCCAGTATAATTCGCTGTTGGGTACCCCACGAGAAAAAAATTTCCACTAAAATACCTCCGTTGCCATGGTGATCTGTCAAAAACACGTATTTTGATTGGTTTAAAATTACAGGTGTGGAATTTTCTACAATATTTAGTAAAAATATCCAAATGCATCATGAGAATTGTTCTACAAATTGTTATAATTTTTGCTATTCATTGTCATGGGTGAAGTTAAGGGGGAGCTTGGGGGAGCTAAGCCCCCCCAAAAATCAAATTAGCCCCCCCAAAAATAATTCGAACATTTGATTAATTCTGCAATTGTACATTTTATCCAGGAGACAGTGACTTTTTTCGTACAAATTTTTCCAGTTGGTGTATATGAAAATATATTCTCTTAGTGACAAAAAACAAAATTTTTGAGTATGGCACTTATTTTCCCAGTCATAAATATTTTACATTTACTACACTAGAACATAAAGTTTATCAAAATAGCAGACTGGCTTATCTCAGATAGCGGAAATTGAGTCTAACTGAAAATTTTCGGATTAAAAAAATTGGCTGATATTTTTCCAGACTTAAATTTTTTTTAAATCAATTGAATTACGAAATTGGCAAATGAGTCTGGCAACATCTTCAAAACCGGAAAAATATCATATTTTTGCTTTTATTTATATTATATTATCATTTTACACCTCTATATACTGAAATTTTTTTTTGACATTTAAAAAGCTCTTTCATGCATATGATATTCTGACGCAACGCAATAGTGTGAATTAAAAATTTGCTATTTCAGTGGTTGATATTTTATTTAATAAAAATTATAACTAGCTAGAGAAATACACTACATTTATTTTAAGTAAAATGATAATTATGTATTTCGCGTCAACTAGACGCCTTCAAGTTTTAAAATTTTGATATTTTGGTGTAAAAATTTTTTTACCGAATACCAGACGTGGCTAAATTATTATCAGTAAATTTTTGCTCAATCACGAATATTTTAAAAAATTCATAAGTTCGAAAAAATTTCCGAAAATAATTCAGGCCTAGTGGTATTCTAAGTGAAAATACACGTCTGTCTGACATTTACAATCACGAAGGCCTGCCAGACTCGCAAGTAGTGTCCGACCGAAAGTTCGGTCATGGTTTCGGCCAACTTCGGCCTAAAATAAGAGTTTCGACTACAGTTTCGGTTTCAGCGGAAAACTAGCCGAAAATGCAGCCGAAGGCGAAAATATTTTCGAGAGTTTTCGATCATACTTGGTGGTGTCCGACACAATGGCGACTGTGCCGGGTACCATTCTTGCACAGTGCACGTACACACAAACTTTTCTGCTGTGTTCCAAGTGAACAGTCTTCAGTGCTCCTGGCCTAAATTATTCGGATCGGAAGTGCAATTTTTTGGGTGGAAACGTGAAAAAAATATTATTTCTAGCCTACACCGTTAGACTGTTTACTTATGAATATTAATTTAATAATAAGTAACAAACATATTTGATCAGCTGAATTCGTTTGTTTTTTTATTGAAATTATACATTCCCTTTATAATATTATTTTTTGCTGATGCAGAAATGGTTGCTACTTTGTAATTCACTTGCTTTTTTTTATTTCAAAAAATAATAAAATTTATTAATGGCTTCTTTATTTTATCACATAAATAAATAGGTAATAAGTAAATGTAGCTAAAATTTATAATATGAAATAATTAGTCTAAAACAAGGATTACATTAAGATATTGCAAATTTGAATAAGAAATTGTCCTAAAAGAAAGTTTTTGTTTCTATTTCGGTTTCGGCCGAAACTAAGAAAGGAGCCAAAATTCAGTTTCTGTTTCGGTTATAAATCCCTGAGAGGCCAGGTACAATAGTAAAATATACTAAACATTGTGACTTCTTTCCTATTGTTGTAGCATTTTATTCGACAAATCAATTGCTACAATAATGAATAGTTTTTAACTATAAATTGTAGTAAAATTTTCTACAAATTGTTAAGTATTTTTCTACAAGTCTACTACTACAACATTGTAGTAAAATTTTCTAGTCGCATTTTTTTCCGTGTGAAAACTATATTTAAAGGTACATCAATAACTCCTGCACAATTCCTATAAAAGAAGGTTTAAATACATGACATTTTACTTTAGTTGTATTTCTTAAAACAGAAAAACACAGTAGATAATCATATCATTCCATTACTGATAATTTCACAAAACAACAGTACAATATTTTTCACTTGTAACAAAATGACGTGAAGACGCATGCCTTCAATCTTGCCAACGAGGGTATAAAATGGAACTGAGGTGCCATTCAAGATAGAATTATTAGCGATAAATAAAGATTTCAAAAGTAAATTGAAATTGAAACCAAATAAGATGTAACTAATTATGATTTGCTACTATACAATATCGGATTGTACTATTTACTTATTAACTGTAAATACTGCTTTATTAATAAATAGTTAAAGATTCATATTTAAATTTAATATTTTAAAGTTAAATACTATATCCAGTGAGCACCATAAGTTACTGGAGTCTTCTTAGGAAAATCGTCGAGACACGTCGATTTTTGATTTCTACAATGTACATTTTTGTATGAATAGTTTACCCTTAATTTCATCCCTTACAGGAGGGTAGCAACCCTTTCGAAAAATTTAAATGGCATGGGGTGGTGAGTGATAGCTCATTTAAAAGAGGGTTTTATTCTCTATTCAACCGTGTAAAAATTTTTGAAATTTGCTTCATTAATTCTCGACTAATTGCTGTTTCAGAATAACGGAAATTAACGTAGCGCACTTATCCTTAGAATTAAAATTCGGCCCTGCATGATTTCGGTTTCGGTTCAGACTTTTTGCCATTAGGTCACTATTAGTCTAGTTGCTTTCCTATTTTGTGAGGTTTTGTTATTTTTAAACATTAATAAATCAACACGTAATAAAGCAAATTTCAAAATTTTTTGCACGGTTGAATAGAGAATAATACCCCCTTTCAAATGAGCTATCACTCATCACCCCATGCCATTTAAATTTTTCGAAGGGGTTGCTCCCCTCCAGTAAGGGATGAAATTAAGGGTAAACTAATCATACAAAAATGTACATTGTAGAAATCAAAAATCGACCTGTCTCGGCGATTTTCATAACAAGACTCCAGTAACGAGTTAGTTAGGGGGGTAAGACTTATGATGCTCACTGTATGTTTGATGACGAATAAACCTTCAATTTTTAATAAGTGAAACAAACATATTCTATCTAGTCTTCTGCCCTGCTTCTTTGTCTATGAAGTCTACTCTTTAGTTAGTTAGTTAGTTAGTTACATAACACGGTGTAAACATAAATAATGTATGGTTTCGCAGAATCTAACTTAGTTAACATTCTTACTAATTGTTCTTTGTAAGCTTATTAGATTACCGTTAGAAATAGGTATATTTGTTTCTTGAACTCTTCACACTTCTACGAGCGTGTCAGTTTTTCGAAATATGCGTTTGTGAAATAAATAATGTATTTCCTACTTTTCAACGCACAATAGATATACGAACTTTCACGAGAAAACTTTTACTAATTT